TACGTGTCTCTCTCTAAGTGTCTCACCGTGTCTCTCTCTACGTGTCTCTCTCTAAGTGTCTCTCTCTAAGTGTCTCTCTCTACGTGTCTCTCTCTACGTGTCTCTCTCTAAGTGTCTCACCGTGTCTCTCTCTAAGTGTCTCTCTCTAAGTGTCTCTCTCTAAGTGTCTCTCTCTAAGTGTCTCTCTCTAAGTGTCTCTCTCTAAGTGTCTCACCGTGTCTCTCTCTAAGTGTCTCACCGTGTCTCTCTCTAAGTGTCTCTCTCTAAGTGTCTCACCGTGTCTCTCTCTAAGTGTCTCACCGCGTCTCTCTCTAAGTGTCTCTCTCTAAGTGTCTCTCTCTAAGTGTCTCAACGTGTCTCTCTCTAAGTGTCTCACCGTGTCTCTCTCTAAGTGTCTCTCTCTAAGTGTCTCTCTCTAAGTGTCTCACCGTGTCTCTCTCTACGTGTCTCTCTCTAAGTGTCTCTCTCTAAGTGTCTCTCTCTACGTGTCTCTCTCTACGTGTCTCTCTCTAAGTGTCTCACCGTGTCTCTCTCTAAGTGTCTCTCTCTAAATGTCTCTCTCTAAGTGTCTCTCTCTAAGTGTCTCTCTCTAAGTGTCTCTCTCTAAGTGTCTCACCGTGTCTCTCTCTAAGTGTCTCACCGTGTCTCTCTCTACGTGTCTCTCTCTAAGTGTCTCTACGTGTCTCTGTCTAAGTGTCTCACCGTGTCTCTCTCTAAGTGTCTCTCTCTAAGTGTCTCTCTCTAAGTGTCTCAACGTGTCTCTCTCTAAGTGTCTCACCGTGTCTCTCTCTAAGTGTCTCTCTCTAAGTGTCTCTCTCTACGTGTCTCTCTCTACGTGTCTCTCTCTACGTGTCTCTCTCTAAGTGTCTCACCGTGTCTCTCTCTAAGTGTCTCTCTCTAAGTGTCTCTCTCTACGTGTCTCTCTCTACGTGTCTCTCTCTAAGTGTCTCACCGTGTCTCTCTCTAAGTGTCTCTCTCTAAATGTCTCTCTCTAAGTGTCTCTCTCTAAGTGTCTCTCTCTAAGTGTCTCTCTCTAAGTGTCTCACCGTGTCTCTCTCTAAGTGTCTCACCGTGTCTCTCTCTACGTGTCTCTCTCTAAGTGTCTCTACGTGTCTCTGTCTAAGTGTCTCACCGTGTCTCTCTCTAAGTGTCTCTCTCTAAGTGTCTCTCTCTAAGTGTCTCAACGTGTCTCTCTCTAAGTGTCTCACCGTGTCTCTCTCTCTACGTGTCTCTCTAAGTGTCTCTACGTGTCTCTGTCTAAGTGTCTCACCGTGTCTCTCTCTAAGTGTCTCTCTCTACGTGTCTCTCTCTACGTGTCTCTCTCTACGTGTCTCTCTCTAAGTGTCTCTCTCTACGTGTCTCTCTCTACATGTCTCTCTCTAAGTGTCTCACCGTGTCTCTCTCTAAGTGTCTCTCCCTAAGTGTCTCACCGTGTCTCTCTCTAAGTGTCTCTCTCTAAGTGTCTCTCTCTAAGTGTCTCTCTCTAAGTGTCTCTCTCACCGTGTCTCTCTCTAAGTGTCTCTCTCTACGTGTCTCTCTCTACGTGTCTCTCTCTACGTGTCTCTCTCACCGTGTCTCTCTCTAAGTGTCTCTCTCACCGTGTCTCTCTCTAAGTGTCTCTCTCTACGTGTCTCTCTCTAAGTGTCTCTCTCTACGTGTCTCTCTCTACGTGTCTCTCTCTACGTGTCTCTCTCACCGTGTCTCTCTCTAAGTGTCTCTCTCTAAGTGTCTCTCTCTACGTGTCTCTCTCTAAGTGTCTCTACGTGTCTCTCTCTAAGTGTCTCTCTCCAAGTCTCTCTCTCTAAGTGTCTCTCTCTACGTGTCTCTCTCACCGTGTCTCTCTCTACGTGTCTCTCTCTAAGTGTCTCTACGTGTCTCTCTCTAAGTGTCTCTCTTACCATGTCTCTCTCTAAGTGTCTCACCGTGTCTCTCTCTAAGTGTCTCTCTTACCATGTCTCTCTCTAAGTGTCTCACCGTGTCTCTCTCACCGTGTCTCTCTCTAAGTGTCTCACCGTGTCTCTCTCTAAGTGTCTCTCTCACCGTGTCTCTGTCTAAGTGTCTCACCGTGTCTCTCTCTACGTGTCTCTCTCTACGTGTCTCTCTCTACATGTCTCTCTCTAAGTGTCTCACCGTGTCTCTCTCTAAGTGTCTCACCATGTCTCTCTCTAAGTGTCTCTCTCTAAGTGTCTCTCTCTAAGTGTCTCTCTCTAAGTGTCTCTCTCACCATGTCTCTCTCTAAGTGTCTCTCTCTACGTGTCTCTCTCTACGTGTCTCTCTCTAAGTGTCTCTCTCTACGTGTCTCTCTCTACGTGTCTCTCTCTACGTGTCTCTCTCTAAGTGTCTCTCTCACCGTGTCTCTCTCTAAGTGTCTCTCTCACGTGTCTCTCTCTAAGTGTCTCTCTCTACGTGTCTCTCTCTACGTGTCTCTCTCACCGTGTCTCTCTCTAAGTGTCTCTCTCTAAGTGTCTCTCTCTACGTGTCTCTCTCTACGTGTCTCTCTCTAAGTGTCTCACCGTGTCTCTCTCTACGTGTCTCTCTCTACGTGTCTCACCGTGTCTCTCTCTACGTGTCTCTCTCTAAGTGTCTCTCTCTAAGTGTCTCACCGTGTCTCTCTCTACGTGTCTCTCTCTACGTGTCTCACCGTGTCTCTCTCTACGTGTCTCTCTCTAAGTGTCTCTCTCTAAGTGTCTCTCTCTACGTGTCTCTCTCTACGTGTCTCACCGTGTCTCTCTCTAAGTGTCTCTCTCTACGTGTCTCTCTCTACGTGTCTCACCGTGTCTCTCTCTAAGTGTCTCTCTCTAAGTGTCTCTCTCTAAGTGTCTCACCGTGTCTCTCTCTAAGTGTCTCTCTCTAAGTGTCTCTCTCTAAGTGTCTCACCGTGTCTCTCTCTCTAAGTGTCTCTCTACGTGTCTCTGTCTAAGTGTCTCACCGTGTCTCTCTCTAAGTGTCTCTCTCTACGTGTCTCTCTCTAAGTGTCTCTCTCACCGTGTCTCTCTCTAAGTGTCTCTCTCTAAGTGTCTCTCTCTAAGTGTCTCACCGTGTCTCTATCTAAGTGTCTCACCGTGTCTCTCTCTAAGTGTCTCACCGTGTCTCTCTCTACGTGTCTCTCTCTACGTGTCTCTCTCTAAGTGTCTCACCACGTGTCTCTCTACGTGTCTCTCTCTACGTGTCTCTCTCTACATGTCTCTCTCTAAGTGTCTCACCGTGTCTCTCTCTAAGTGTCTCTCTCTAAGTGTCTCACCGTGTCTCTCTCTAAGTGTCTCTCTCTAAGTGTCTCTCTCTAAGTGTCTCTCTCTAAGTGTCTCTCTCACCGTGTCTCTCTCTAAGTGTCTCTCTCTACGTGTCTCTCTCTACGTGTCTCTCTCTAAGTGTCTCTCTCTACGTGTCTCTCTCACCGTGTCTCTCTCTAAGTGTCTCTCTCACCGTGTCTCTCTCTAAGTGTCTCTCTCTATGTGTCTCTCTCTACGTGTCTCTCTCACCGTGTCTCTCTCTAAGTGTCTCTCTCTAAGTGTCTCTCTCTACGTGTCTCTCTCTAAGTGTCTCTACGTGTCTCTCTCTAAGTGTCTCTCTCCAAGTCTCTCTCTCTAAGTGTCTCTCTCTACGTGTCTCTCTCACCGTGTCTCTCTCTACGTGTCTCTCTCTAAGTGTCTCTACGTGTCTCTCTCTAAGTGTCTCTCTTACCATGTCTCTCTCTAAGTGTCTCACCGTGTCTCTCTCTAAGTGTCTCTCTTACCATGTCTCTCTCTAAGTGTCTCACCGTGTCTCTCTCACCGTGTCTCTCTCTAAGTGTCTCACCGTGTCTCTCTCTAAGTGTCTCTCTCACCGTGTCTCTGTCTAAGTGTCTCACCGTGTCTCTCTCTACGTGTCTCTCTCTACGTGTCTCTCTCTACATGTCTCTCTCTACGTGTCTCTCTCTACGTGTCTCTCTCTACGTGTCTCTCTCTAAGTGTCTCTCTCACCGTGTCTCTCTCACCGTGTCTCTCTCTAAGTGTCTCTCTCTACGTGTCTCTCTCTACGTGTCTCTCTCTACGTGTCTCTCTCTACGTGTCTCTCTCTACGTGTCTCTCTCTACGTGTCTCTCTCACCGTGTCTCTCTCTAAGTGTCTCTCTCACGTGTCTCTCTCTAAGTGTCTCTCTCTACGTGTCTCTCTCTACGTGTCTCTCTCACCGTGTCTCTCTCTAAGTGTCTCTCTCTAAGTGTCTCTCTCTACGTGTCTCTCTCTACGTGTCTCTCTCTAAGTGTCTCACCGTGTCTCTCTCTACGTGTCTCTCTCTAAGTGTCTCACCGTGTCTCTCTCTAAGTGTCTCTCTCTAAGTGTCTCACCGTGTCTCTCTCTACGTGTCTCTCTCTACGTGTCTCACCGTGTCTCTCTCTACGTGTCTCTCTCTAAGTGTCTCTCTCTAAGTGTCTCTCTCTACGTGTCTCTCTCTACGTGTCTCACCGTGTCTCTCTCTAAGTGTCTCTCTCTACGTGTCTCTCTCTACGTGTCTCACCGTGTCTCTCTCTAAGTGTCTCTCTCTAAGTGTCTCTCTCTACGTGTCTCACCGTGTCTCTCTCTACGTGTCTCACCATGTCTCTCTCTATGTCTCTCCGTGTCTCTCTCTACATGTCTCTCCGTGTCTCTCTCACCGTGTCTCTCACCGTGTCTCTCCGTGTCTCTCTCACCGTGTCTCTCTAACCGTGTCTCTCCGTGTCTCTCTCTACGTGTCTCACCGTGTCTCTCCGTGTCTCTACGTGTCTCTCCGTGTCTCTCTCTATGCGTCTCACCCGTGAACGCTGCTCCGTGTGGCTCGGGGCTCGTCCACCCGCTGCTCTGCTGCTCCTCAGCCTCTCGACTCGCTCCTCCTCCAACTCCAGCTCCTCCTCCTCCTCCTCCACCGCCTCCTGGCGACACACAGAACGACACGCACACACACACGTACACACACACACGGTACACACAGACACGTACACACACACACGTACGTACACACACACACACGGTACACACACACACAGAACGACACGCACACACACACGCACACACACACGTACACACACGTACACACACACACACGGTACACACACACACACACACGTACACACGTACACACGCAGGCACGCACACACAAGTACACACACACACGTACACACACAAAAACACACACGCATACACACACACACGTACACACACACACACACGGTACACACACACGTACACACACGCACGTACACACACGGCACGACACACACACAGAACGACACGCACACACACACACGCACGCAGGCACACGTACACACACGTACACACACACACACGTACACACACGTACACACACACACGGTACACACACACACGGCACACACACACACGGTACACACACACGTACACACACACACACGTACACACACACGCACAGACACACACACACACGGTACACACACACGTGCACACGGTACACACACACGTACACACACACGTACACACACACACATACGTACACACACACACGTACACACACACACGTACACACGCACACACACATGTACACACACGTACACACACGTACACACGCGTACACACACACGTACACACACGTACAAACACACACGTACACACACACACGCACATGCACACACACACGTACACACACACACGCACACACGCACAGACACACACACATGCACACACACACGTACACACGCACACATACACACATACACAGGTATAGACAGAGGTCCACCAGGTAGTTCCACAAGCTCAGGGCTGTAGGGGCCAAGTGCTGTTAGTAGCGAGCAGCAACGGCAGCGCCGAACAAGACCGTTCACTCACCCACTCACCCACTCACTAACACACTCACTCATACACTCACCCACTCACTCACCCATACACTCACCCACTCACTCACCCATACACTCACCCACCCACTCACCTACTCACCCATACACTCACCCATACACTCACTCACCCACACACTCACTCACTCACTCAATAACACACTCACCCATACACTCACCCACACACTCACTAACACACTCACCCACCCACACACTCACTCACCCACACACTCACCCACCCACTCACCCACACACTCACTAACACACTAACACACTCACTCATACACACACCCACACACTCACTAACACACTCACCCACTCACCCACTAACCCACTCACCCACACACTCACTAACACACTCACCTACTCACTCACCTACTCACTAACACACTCACCCACCCACTCACTCACCCACCCACTCACTCACCCATACACTCACTCACTCACTCACCTACTCACTCACCTACTCACTCACCTACTCACTCACTCACCCACTCACCCACTAACACACTCACTCATACACTCACCCACACACTCACTCACTCACTCACCCACTCACTCACTCACTCACCCACACACTCACTCACTCACCCACACACTCACCCACACACTGACCTACTCACCCACTCACTCACTCACCCATACACTCACTCACCCAAACACTCACCCATACTCACCCACACACTCACCTACTCACTCACCCACTCACCCACTCTCTCAATCACTCACCCACCCACCTATTCACTTACCCACTCTCTCAATCACACACCCACTCACTCACTCATTCACCGGCCCTCTCACTCACTCACCCACCAACTCACTTACCTACCCACCCATTTATTCACTCACTCACCTACTCACTAATTCACCCACCCACTCACCTAACCACCCACTCATTCACTCACTCACCCACTCACTAATTCACCCACCCACTCGCTCACCCATGCACTCACCCACTCTCTCAATCACTTACCCACCCACCTACTCACTTACCTAACCACCCACTCATTCCCTCACTCACTCACTCACCCACTCACTAATTCACCCACCCACCCACTCACCTAACCACCCACTCATTCACTCACTCACCCACTCACTCACTCACTAATTCACCCACCCACTCACTCACCCACCCACCCACGCACGCACCCACTCTCTCAATCACTCAACCACCCATCTACTCACTCACTCAATCACTCACTCATTCACCGACCCTCTCACTCACTCACCAACTCACTAATTCACCCACCCACCCAACCACTCAATCACTCACTCACCCACTCACTAATTCACCCACCCACTCAATCACTCACCCACTCATATCGATCTTCGTGAGATGACCGACCCGGCCATCACAAATAACAGCAGCTCAACCAAGTGGCTGATATCATCATCATCAGCCAAATACTCTAAACGTGTTTCTACAGACTCACAGAGACCCACACTCACAGAGTCCCATACTCATAGAGACCCACAGAGACCCACACTCACAGAGACCCACAGAGAACCACACTCACAGAGACCCACACTCATAGAGACCCACACTCACAGAGACCCACAGAGACCCACACTCACAGAGACTCACACTCATAGATACCCACACTCACAGAGACCCACACTCATAGAGACTCACACTCATAGAGACCCACACTCATAGATACCCATACTCACAGAGACCCACAGAGACCCACACTCACAGAGACCCACAGAGACCCACACTCACAGAGACCCACACTCACAGAGACCCACACTCATAGAGACCCACAGAGACGCATACTCATAGAGACCCACAGAGACCCATACTCATAGAGACCCACAGAGACCCACAGAGACCCACACTCACAGAGACCCACAGAGACGCACAGACCCATACTCATAGAGACCCACAGAGACCCATATTCATAGACCCACAGAGACCCATACTCACAGAGACCCACAGAGACCCACACTCACAGAGACCCACACTCACAGAGACCCACAGAGACCCATATTCATAGACCCACAGAGACCCACAGAGACCCACACTCACAGAGACCCACAGAGACCCACACTCACAGAGACCCACACTCACAGAGACCCATACTCATAGAGACTCACACTCATAGAGACCCACACTCAGAGACCCACACTCAGAGACCCACAGAGACCCACACTCACAGAGACTCACAGAGGCCCACACTCACAGAGACCCACACTCACAGAGACCCACACTCACAGAGACCCATACTCATAGAGACCCACAGAGACTCACACTCATAGAACCCACAGAGACCCACACTCAAAGAACCCACAGAGACCCACACTCATAGAACCCACAGAAACCCATACTCATAGAGACCCACAGAGACCCACACTCATAGAGACCCACAGAGACCCACACTCATAGAACCCACAGAGACCCACACTCATTGAACCCACAGAGACCCACACTCACAGAGACCCACAGAGACCCACACTCATAGAGACCCACACTCACAGAGACCCACACTCACAGAGACCCACAGAGACCCACACTCATAGAGACCCACACTCACAGAGACCCACACTCACAGAGACCCACAGAGACCCACACTCACAGAGACCCATACTCACAGAGACCCATACTCACAGAGACCCACAGAGACCCACACTCATAGAGACCCACACTCACAGAGACCCACAGAGACCCACACTCATAGAGACCCACACTCATACAGACCCACAGAGACCCACAGAGACCCATACTCATAGAGGCCCAGCCAACGCAGCCTTGCCTGCCAGAGGAGCTCACCCGTGGGACTTTGTCCAGACCCTTCAAGGGATTTGTGAGCTCCTCACAGACTCCTGCCTGGTTAAACCCAGGATATGGATCGTAGGCAGGCCAGCCTAAATGTTTCTAACCGGCGAAGATGTTCCATTAAGGGGGTCCACGTTTCACAAGCGTAGAGAAGGGAGGGAATGACCGTGGCCGAGAAGACCTGAAGCTTCGTGCGGAGCGACAGACCAGGTAGCTTCCACACAGCGTTACGCAACCGATGAAAAGATATTGCCGCTCGACTGATTCGGAGTGAGACCTCTGCTGTTAAACTGGAGCCAGTCATAAGCACACTGCCCAGGTATGGGAAACTCTCCACTCTCTCCACAACTGCCCCATCACCGATTGGGAGTTGTGGGGGTGGAGTGTCCGATGGTACAAAATACCCAGGCAGGTGCTTAGTTTTGGTGGGGCTGATGGTAAGGCCCCACCTCTTATTGGTAAGCTCCAGATTCAGAAGCAACACCTCCAACTCCTCCTTTGAGTGAGCAGCAATTACCAAATCATCGGCATACATAACGTGGTTGACCAATAGGGAGCCATACCTTGACCGCACCCGGGCATCGATCAGCCTCCCATTGTATCTGTACCAGATGTAAATTCCTCCGGTACAGCTTCACGAACTAGGTGGTCAAAATAGATGTTAAATAATGTGGGAGCCAGAGGACATCCCTGTCGCACCCCAAGGTGTACAGGGAATGGCTCTGACTCCCGGCCACGTAGTTTTACCCGGGTCCGCTCACCATCATGAAGGTCCTTAATGAGCGTGAGCAGAGGGTCAGGGACTCCGAAAGCACGAAGAACAACCCAGAGCCCAGGCCTACTGATGGTATCATAGGCCTTGACCAGGTCAATAAAGCAGAGATGCAGGTCTTGTTGGGATTCCCTACACCTCTGATGTAGCAGACAAACAGAAAATATGGCATCTGAACTCACAATGGGGCTCTGCAAGCCTCTCCTCAGCGTGCCTGGCAAGGCGATGCTGAATAATCCTTGCCAGGACCTTTCCCGGCACACTGAGGAGTGAGATGCCCCTGTAGTTGTTACAGTCTGTGCCCTGGTAGTCCCCTTTCTTAAAAAGGGGGACCACCAGGGCATCCTTCCAATCCTGCGGAACCCGTCCAGTGGTCCAGACTGTTGTTATGATGTCATATAGGGCAGTCTGTGCACAAACGCCACCCTCCCTCAGCATTTCGCTTGGGAGATCATCTCTGCCCGCTGCCTTTCCTGGTCTCAGACTCCGGATCGCCTTCAATACTTCCTCACCAGATGG